CATGACTCTTAGAAGACCTACCACCGCTTCAACAATAGACTCCCAACCATTGAAGAGACAAATGCTGCCATACAAGGTATGTTACATAATCACACATAATGGTAGGTAAGCATGGGACATGAGATGGCCAACCTCCAGCAACAACAGCAACAACAAAAATCAAAATTGGGAGGCTCTGTTCCAACACCTCCACATTCGGCCACCTCGTTGAGCAACCACGACAACAACCAACTTGGGGAGAAGGCATCCCCCGTGTATCTAGATAAGTATTTGTTTTTTTATTCTTAGTTTGCTTTATATATTTTAGAAAAAGATAAATAACTGAAAATGAAATAAAAAGTTATCTTTATATAAATATATATATTTATAATGTGTGATCTAAATATGGAAACAAAATAAAAAGAGTGTATCTAGTTTGCTTTAATTTCTTTTAAGAGCCAAATAAATAAAAAGGGACTCTGATGATAATCTCTTAAAATGAAAATGGTGAATAGTTGCTCTGTTGTAATTCCTTTGGAGTACCTAGTTTTCAGTCTTGAATTCTCCTGAGTTTTGGATAAAATTGTTTTGATATAAGGATTTACTCTAAACTTGAAACTCGTGGGTAACATATGCTTGATCTAATTGACGGATATGATATGAAAAGGTTTGAGCTGTTGTTTATTGTTGGCACTTTTAGCGTAGCTACTAGGTTTGTATTCCTAGCAACTATGCCAGAAGTACTTGTTGGTATTACTTAGCAACATCACTAGTGATCAGCAATATCACTAAGTAATATCCTTGATAGTTCGTTAACAATTTTAGATATTTATCCGCAAGTGCATGGAGCTATCATTGTAACATTTCACCCGGAAGTATTCAGGGTATCATTATTTATATTTTCTCAAAGAAAGGCATTTGATTAAGAGCCTAGTATCGATATGAACTTGAATAATAATGCTCGCAAGTGCACCAATGTTTATAACAGGGGTAAGAACGGTGATTTCAAGATAGTGGACACACACTTGACATTCCTCAAAGGATAAAATAAAGAGAAAGAATAAAAAGAATAATCTAAGCCAAGCAGGCATTGGTCTAGTATAGTCATACAAAGATTAGTTAATGATCATATAAGTCACATAATTAGTCTTAGGGCTAAGTGCGAAGCAGGTCGGGAGGCCACCGAGTACTGGTCTGCCAGCAACCTCATGTGACAATTTAGACTTCTACACCCCAGTCGAACGTGTGGGATTACAAGGGACGGACAGGGCAATGACCACCTGCTGCCTACCCCTCAACCGTGGAAAGGGACAATGCATTCACCTATCTCTCTATACCCAAACACCACGCTTGCATATACAGAAACTACCCAAATTTCCCTGGGTCCCCGACCCTACGGATCGATAGGTAAAGAACTTAGGCACACCTAGCGGCACAATGAACCACCACCTCAACTTTGCTCTAATTCTGATTATATAAGTTATATGAATTGTTAAGTATAAAGTCATGTATGCTACTCTCATGACATACAAACTATAGACTAGTTCATACATCAAGATTATAACATAACAATTATACTGTAGTTCATATGTATGACTATAAATGTAAGATGAGAGCATAGCTCTGGAAGAACTTATATTTCTATTTATACCCAAAGGTCTCTTCTTTCAAGGAGCCAAGCTCTCCAAGGTAGCTTTGCATTGCTCTAATACAACTACTAAAAGTAAAGCTAAGAGAGGAGAGTGAGGTGTTGCTTAAGTGAAGTGTGTTTAGAGAGGGGGGTACCCCTCTATTTATATAGGAGCTTAGGTGGTGCACGAGGCTATTCTTTGTGTGTCCTCGGCTTCCACCGCCATAGCATGAAAGCATGCCACCGCCTGTCGAAGGAGGGGCTGAGCAGTGTTAGCAAGGGGTCGGGCACCCCTAGGGGTCGGCCGCCCCTTGACCGTGGCCTCTCGCCACCGCCTTCGTTTGGCAGGCCGTGGGCTGGACCAGGATTGCTTTCCTGTGGTGCTTTGCCCCAGTTGAATTGATTTGATGGGCGTCTCCCTTGTTTCTTTGCGCAAATCAGCGTCGAATAATGCCTTTCGATGAATTATTCCATGTATTTGTGTTTGTGACCTGCAAAATAATGTTCTTCAAATACATGTGAAACTTGGTTAATAGTAAATGCATATGTGTTTAAGTTTGCTAATTTTTCCTCTTTTTATGTCTTAATTGGCGGTCGGATTTGATCGGTAAAGACCGCCAACATTTATCTTGTTCCAAGTGACACTAAAATTTTGGAGATGTATCTTTTGAAAACTCAAATGCTATATGATGAGTTTCTGTATGACAAAGCTTGAATTCCTATCAGAGCCATACATGTTCTTTAGGCTAGGAAAACTTTCGCTTATATGTTGCTTGTTTTGCATTGAGTTTTGTCAAGCTTTGTTGACCCTTATGAGAGGTTTGTCATGCTCTTAAAATCAAGATCACTTACACTTCACCCAAATATGCACTACTCCTACACTGGAGATAGGCACAAAAACATGCCTTCCATCTAGATCCACATAAAAATATTTTACTTCTACACTGGGAGTGAAGACAAAATATGCTTGATAGGTTTTAACATCCACCAAATAAATGCTCCAAAGTTCTTGTTGTTATCTCTCAAAAGTTTTGTTACAAAGAAGAGACATGGGCTATGTAAAAGTTATTCATAAAAAAGAAAAAGAAAAGAATTGAAAAAAATAGACAAGTGTCTGAGATATTAAAAAACAATGGGTACTTAAATGCCTCCAAAAAAAAGAGATGAATAGGATAGTCCATGTTCTCTTACAAAAATATTTCTAAATTTCAAAAGAGAGATATGTTTTCAAGGAACAAAGTAGAATTAGTGTCGGGGGCCAATACTAGGGTACTCGAAGTGGAGGAGCTAATGGTCATCAACATTGATTCATCCGAGCAGTCAAGAGCGCGACTACAGCTCCAACCGACCCCTAGGTGCGTGGGCTCCGCCTCGCCCGACCTCTAGGGCCAGGCTCCGCCTTGCCCGACCTCTGGGTCGGGGGCTCCGTCTCACCCGACCCCTCAAGCGCGGCTCCTGATGGAAGCCCGTACCACCGCCAACCACTACGGGCCAGAAAGTACAACCCAACGTCAAACTTCTGGCATCGTGCCGGGAGCGGGCACATCTCAACAGGACCCGTGCCCGCGACATATCACTCCAGGAAACTCACATCACCAACAGTGATGGACGCGTGGTCACTATGCTGCCTACACCCTGAACGATCGCTGACTAGCACGCTGGTTCGCCGCGTCGCCCGCCGGGACGGAATGGGACGTCACGACCCGCTGACAACGTCGGGGCATGGCATCAGCGGCGAACAGGCGCCTAGTGTGGAGCCGTCCCTGTCACCATCTGCAGTGTCGGCGGGACCTGCATAAAGGAGAAGAAAGGTCTGACGGTCCTGGAAGCCTTCCTCTCCTTGGCTCTTCTCCCTTCTTCTCTCTGTGTAACCTGCTCTTCCCCTTCGTCTATAAAAGGGAAAGCAGGACATCCTAGGAGAGAGGACGGCGGTTCACCGCTCTACACAGTTGTAGTCATCAAAACACACGTCCTAACACGCCTTAGGAGCACACGTACATTAGAAACTTGGGACATGTCCCTCTCTCGCTTGTTTGTAACCCCTACTATAAACTTTTAGTGCTAGTAATACGAGCAGCAGCGACAAATTGGACCTAGGGATTTTCTGCCCGAACCACTATAAACCTCGTGTCCTCTAAACACATCATTCGAGCCAGACGCGTAATACTAAAATTTACTAGTTGGTAACTCGAAACATCGACAATAGGTATCAAAGAGTCTCATATTATATTTGCCTTCCAACATTTACTCAACTTTCTCTGCACTTAGCTTCTGGCCATCAGCTTCCAGCCTCCAACACTTATAAATAGCTCTTCTACTCACTGATCGAAGCAACCAAGCACACAGCAAAAACAAACGAAAACAACTATGAACAACACCCAGGAACCGAAACACCCTAGTTTTGTTCTTATAGGTGGGTCGTTTACAACTCAACAAAACGAGGTGCAGCCGTGCAGGCCCTTGGCCTTTGAACAGATGATAGATGACCGGCTGAGTGATGGAGCGCGCCTGTTGAGAACTCCGTGCTTTCTGCTCCATTGTCCGGGATATTCAATTCGCGGCTCCATTGTCCTACGTTGCCTTTTGCCAGGACCATCAGCAGCTACAGAGCTACTACTTGTCACCTGCTGCGTACCTATCGATTAGCCACTGAATTTCTTCCCAACTTTCCGTTCTGAGTAGTGAGTACCCGTACTATTCACGGTGTCTATGTTTATTTTTCTTCTCTCACGGCTCACGGCACAAGAGAATGAAGTTTGTGACCGTTGATCAAGGGCCAGCCTTTTCTCTTCTTTCGGCGTGGTTGGCCAGCCAGCGGCCAGCCCTTCACTTCACCGACGCCCCCGTTGCGTCTTGTCGCCTGTGCTGTGCGTGAGCAGGGAGCAGCCACGGAAAACAGCAATGGGACACGCCATGGCGCCACAAGAAACAGGAGCCGTGGTCATCTTTCACAATGCAACGACTCGGACCCGTGCTACTGGCGCCAAGCAGTTGGGCGGCCTCCGTTCCATCCATCCGCCGCTGACGCTGCCGGTGCCCGTACCAGCGGACGGACGCCCGCCGTGCTTCCGCAGCCGCCGTGACGGTACCGCGCGCGCGCCAGGCCAGCAGCCTCTGCCCGGCCTAGTTAGTGCAAACATTAAAGCGTTCCGCGTTATTTCGAACCGGTACGTTGGAGTATTGGGCCAACGACAAGAAAACGCGCCGCGCTCAGGGCAGAGCAAACCAAACCAAACCTCACTGCCGGCCCGGGGCTCCAGGCGAACCACTCCACTCCACACCACTGCCGCCCCCGCCCGGAGCCGCGGCGCGCCGCTCTGCGCACCTGCAGCTGCAGGTAGGACACCGTGCCCGTGGTGAGGTGCCGGGGCGGCCGGTCGAGAGGAGGGGAATGGCGGATGGCGGCGGGGAATCGGAGTCGACGGCGCTGGAGTTCACGCCGACGTGGATCGTGGCGGCGGTCTGCTCCCTCATCGTGGTCATCTCCCTCGCCGCCGAGAGGTGCTTGCATTACCTTGGCAAGGTAACCGATTTTGATTCTTCCTTGCGTGTGTTCCTGAGCATCGAAACGCCTCGCTCCTCATCTCCCTCTTGAATTAATGCCGCACCTTGGTGGTGTGTGTCCACTGTCCACTGCGATGGCTGGCAGACGTTCAAGGCGAAGAACCAGAAGGCGCTCTTCGAGGCTCTCCTCAAGGTCAAAGAAGGTATCGATCTGTTTTTTCTCTGTCGTTCAGCCCGTTTTCAGGTGATGTTTTGTTCTGGAGAAGCTGAGGTTTATGCGCTCCTACCACTGTCAGAAAAGGGGGAGCTTTGTTCATCTTCAGTGACTTACAGTAGAGTTCTCCGATGCTATTTTCAATTTTGCAGAGCTGATGCTTCTGGGGTTCATCTCCCTGCTGCTGACGGTGTTCCAAGGAGTGATGCAGAGGACGTGCATTCCACAGGAGTGGAGCATCTACATGCTCCCATGCCATAACGCCAAGAAGCAGGCCGAGCTGAGCCCCACGGAGGCGCATGGACTTGCTGCCGGAATCTTAGGCCTCACTCGCCGGCGTCTGCTTGCGGAGGGCGGGCCCATGGCCCAGCATTGCCAAAAGAAGGTCGGTGGACGAATCACACCTGCACTTTGGTGGTCCATCTGATGCTTGTTATAACAGACTATGCTTCCAATCATTGAGAAAACAACTTGAATTTTCCAGATTGTATCATTAATATCATGTCTCGTGTTTGATGTAAGTCGGCAACTTACATCAATGATCACGTTGCGGGATCTTTCTTTACTTTCCCAGTTGCCATTTTAGACAAGGTGAAAACGCTGTGGGTTTCCCCAGACCCCAGGTGCAGTTTTATTGGCTACTATTATCCAATTAGAATTATCCCAAATCGTGCTTGCATTTTTCATTGCACACAACTTTCCCTATGTAGAAATAGACAATTTCTATTCCGAAGAGGAAGTCCACTAATTTTTAGAATTTTTAATTAGTTAAAGTGATTCAACTACTATGGAACATTTCAGAATGGAAAATGTGCAAGTTTTACGCCGTAGTACTATTTGGAGCCTAAATAAAGTAGCCAAAAAGGATGGCCAATTAGTGTAAGTAGTAGTATATTCTTACAGCTTCTCCATTCGAAAATAGCAACTTATGTCACAATTTCGTCGTGAGATTAGTTGTCCTTGCCTTGCTAGATCGATGCTAATAGTACAGGAAACACAAATACTTGTCAATGATCATGATGTTTCCTTAGGATACCGTCTCTATAAGATTGAAACTTTTCTTTCAAAATCTGAAATGTGTGACATTATAGAGTAGCAGAGTTAAGGTTTCAAGGCAACCATGATTTTAGTTCTAACTCTAGCATATTTGTCAACAGGAAGAAGTTCCTTTGTTGTCAGTTGAAGCACTACATCAGCTACATATCTTCATTTTCATTCTGGCCATTGCACATGTGATTTTCTGTGTTTTGACTATGCTTTTAGGAAGTGCAAGGGTAAAGTATCGATGACATTTCATTCATTCGTGCATAGATTAATCTTAGTTTCATGTAATTTTAACTTTAATTAGTTCCATCTTTTACTCAGATTCGTCAATGGAAACACTGGGAGGATGAAATTCAGAAGGGTGCTACAGAAAATGGTAGTAGTGTCTTGTTTGCTGCTCATGTTTTGTTCAAATGATATGGGAGTACTTGTGGTCTGGTAGCAAGTAGTAACTGTCCTTTTAAAACAAGTTAATGCTCATGTTAATTAATGAATAAAATTAAGGCTCCCCTTTTTGGTACATTCCTATGGATCTCTACAGGGCCTAGGAAGGTGACCGATGTGCATCAATCTGAATTTATCAGGGAACATTTCAAGGGTATTGGCAGAGATTCCACAATGTTGAACTGGCTGGTAAGAAATGGATCGCATGTGGCTTTCAGTCAAAATAGTGTATCTTCAGTCCGAACGACAGCTGAATTAATTTCTAAAGTTTACACTATTCTTTTTTATCATACAATCTAGTTCGGGCTAGACAGACTAGGCTACCTAGCTTTTCTGACCAGCTTGTGCAACCTTTCTATATGTTGTTGTTTCCTCTTGTCCCTCTTACACAGCTCCACTTATCAGTTGGATTATATTGGATAACTTACTAACAATGTTTTAAGAAATCGTCCCAAACCAAAATGCATTTGAATGATTAACGAGTAAATTTTTACTATTGCATCATTCATTCATTTTTATTAAGTACCTAATCATCAAGTATAAGTTTAACCAACTCATTAAGCTTTTACTTTCAGCATTCTTTTGTTAAGCAGTTTTATGGGTCAGTTACTAAATCGGACTACACTACAATGCGACTTGGCTTCATCACGGTAGGGATAACACAAGAAAAAACTATTTTTTTGTTCCCTTCTCAATTACAGCAGGTGGCAGTTTTCCTTTGCAGACACATTGTAGGGCAAACCCAAAATTTGATTTCCACAGATACATGATGCGAGCTTTGGAGGCTGACTTTAAGAAGGTGGTTGGCATAAGGTAGTCCAGTCAGCAAATTCATACATTTTCCAGCTCATGTACCAACAGTTGTTGAGCATAATTGGTGAACCTAACTATCTTGCCTTTTCTTACCTCTCGTAGCTGGTACTTGTGGATATTCGTTGTGGTATTCATGTTGCTGAACGTCAATGGTGAGTTTAATCTCACTGAAAGAATCATTTAAGCCTCTAATTCTGTACAGAGCTGCTTTAGCACTGCTTCTTTACTGTAGGTTACTAGTATTTACTGTAAACTACTAGTACTCTTCAGTACATCAGTGTTGATGATTATATATCTGTTGCAAATCCACAGGTTGGCATACATACTTTTGGATCTCTTTCATTCCCCTTCTTGTAAGTGTTTCTTTATAACTAAATGAGTTTCTTGAGAACTTGCAAACTTCATTTTTGAGGAATTTCATATCACTTTTGAATTTCGCCCTTGACACGAGACTGTGAACTTACTGGACACTTCTTTATTTGCTTCTTGCAGCTTCTGTTGGCCGTTGGCACCAAGCTAGAGCATGTCATAACTCAGTTGGCTCAAGAGGTCGCCGAGAAGCACTCCGCAATAGAGGGCGACTTGGTCGTGAATCCGTCAGATGACCACTTCTGGTTTGGACGACCAAAAATCGTCTTGTACCTGATCCACTTCATCCTTTTCCAGAACGCATTTGAGATTGCATTCTTCTTCTGGATTCTTGTAAGTGCAACCAAACTCCACAAAACTACTGAAGAACCAAGATTGAAGGCTTACTGCAGCTTCTTTTCTCTCTCTTTGACAGACTACCTACGGCTTCAACTCCTGCATCATGGACCACGTCCCCTTCATTGTGCCGAGGCTCGTTGTGGGGTAATTTGCAGACCTTCTGTCTCGCTACTCATCCCATTTCGAACAGTCCAAGAGCCATCAATGTGTCTCAGACTCATGATGTTAGCCTTGCAGGGCCATCATCCAGCTCCTCTGCAGCTACAGCACCCTGCCTCTGTACGCCATTGTCACGCAGGTGCGTGCTATTATACTTTCAAATTGACTACCGTTTGGGGATTGTGGCTATTCGAAACATGGTCTGAACTATTTTTCTTGTTTGCAAAGATGGGAACCTTCTTCAAGAAGGAGATCTTCGATGAGCACGTGCAGCAGAGCCTCGTGGGCTGGGCGCAGAAGGCCAAGAAGAGGAAAGCGCTCAAGAACAATGGCAATGGCAGCACTGGCGCGGCCGGATCGGCATCGGCACATCCATCTGCGAGGCTCGAACTGATGAGACGAGCTGTCGCTCTTGAAGAAGGCAGTGCCGGTGGCAACGGGAGTGAAGCCAGTGCGGCCGAGCTACAGGACAGGGGCCCGAAGCTCTGAACGCTGTAGCAAACGCCCGGCAGAGCGTCAGAAGATGCAGTGTTTCTGTAAGCGAGCCATATGTTGTATGGCTGTTTAGCCAGATGGTGGTGCAGTGTGATACTCCTATGATGATTTGTATGCTTTTTTGGATTAACTTTGAGCTTGAGGCGTGTTATGGAGTGGGGAGCTTTCTGTAGTGTTGTGCTCATGGAGGCGATGTGTTTAGGCCAGATCGGAGACGCCTCGCGCGCTCCAGGCGCGCAAGGCCAGAAAGGCAGAAACCACATCCCTGAGGCCTGAGCGCTACCAGGGCTGCGTTGCATTGTGAAAGGAAGAAGAAAAAACATGAAAAAGCAACAGACGCCGCTGAGCAAGTAAATACTACTCCCTCCATTCCAAATTATAAGAAGTTTTCACCTAACTTTGGCTATGCACCTAGACACATGTAAAATTAATGTATCAAGAAAAGCTAAAATGTCTTATAATTTAGGAGGGAGTACCACACAGGGAAGCCGGATTGTGCTGACTAGGCAGCTCCCAAACATGTATTCTCAGATATTCAGTTAGTAGCCATAAGCATCACTGAGAGGATCTCATCAGAACCGTGTACAAAAGGTATACGACATAACAAAAAGCCAGAGTTGATTCTAGTATAGGGGTCCTTCGGTTCTACAGCCATACAAAATCCTACACTTCATCTATTTCAGCATTGCCGCAAAGAGGCACTGCAGACATTCAACCATCACCACTTGCACGCCTGCCTCTGGATCTTGGAGTTTATGGTGCCCTTACCCTTGTCCTTGTAGGCATTCCAGGATGACACTGGCCTTCTCCGCCCATGGGAAGCTGCTATTGCCTTTTTCCTTTGCTTGTTCAATTGTTTCGTGAGCTCAGCATCTTCTTCTTCATCAACATCTTCTGATGAGTCGTCATCGTTATCGTCATCTTCCTGGGAAAGCACCTTGCCCCCAGATTCAAGTGGTTTCATAGCATCTCCATTGCCACCTGAGGGAGTTTCCAATCTGGTCCCACTGCTACAACTTGTTCCATGCTGTGCAGTGAAAAAATGTAAGAAAAATGCAATTAAAAGTTTGCTTATTCACTCTGATGGATAGATGACTAACCTCTTCAGAGAAAGTTCCAGGCACATCTGAATCCCTTGAGGCAAGATTACAATCAGGCTCATCAGAACCATCCTTAGAGACACAGCCCAAATATACTTCAATAACAGTGTCTTCTAACTAGACCAGAGACTAGTTTCTCAAAAAAAAAAAAAAACTAGACCAGAGACTAGCCTGACTATCGGTACAGTCTGCACATATTCAAATTAACTAGCTAGGCAGACGTACGTGGTCTATCTTCAAGGAAACCGAAGGCACAGCATCACCGACCTCGTCGTCATCATCTGACCTGGAATCATGCCCTTCAGCATCTTCCTCAATGTACTGTAAGAAAGTTCGCCCCAAAAAAAAAAAGTATCAGAGAGCTTAGCCAGAAAACAATCTATAAATGTATGCATGAATAACAAGTTTGCAGAAACATCTGACCTACCTTCTCCATCTCCACTTGCTCTTTCCTGGTAAATCCACTGGCAGCTAGTTCCTTGTCCAAGGAACCAGCAGCCTTTTTCACAGACAGAAAGGAAGGTCTACTGTTCCCTTCATCATCGCTTTCAGATCCAGCTTGTTCTTCATTTTTCTCTGACGTCAGATTGAACCTAACAGGAAGAAAGGAAATCTCAATAAGAAAAAGGATTCTACCGAATTAGGCTGATTTGAAGCCTTTTTGCATATATTATAAACCTTTTGTTAAAGAACTTGTAGATACATTCAATGTCTCGGTCAAAAAACCTGCAAAACCAAAATCATTTTTCTTAAAAAACATACATGACACTGTCACATTAGTTATCTGAGTAAGCTACATACATTTGGGCATTACGACGAGAAACAGATACCATCTGTGGAAAGTCAATAACCGTAATTTTTTCATCATCGTCAATCTGCATGACATTGGCATCAACGAATTTAACTATACACTGACAAATAAAAAACATTACCATATGTAGTTGAATTGTATTACTAATATCACAAAACTAAGCGCTGGCAAGCTGCACCTAGAAATTATTCAAACAAATGGATACAGTTCATGTGTTTGCCACAAAAAAGTCTTGTTCCACAGTATCTTATCCAGAGAAGTTTTACTTGTACGAAGGATATAAAACTTATAAATCAACACAAACAAAGAAAGGAAAAGGAAGAGATACCATGATATTGAACTCATTAAAGTCACAAAGTATCAGTCCATGCTCTGCCAAACGAACGATAAGACCAAGAATTGTGTCAAAAACATCATCTGGATTTTGTAACTCTTTCACTTGAACACTACGGAGCATAAAGCAACTTGTATCAGGATCTGCTTGACAGAACATACTATTCAACTAATATGAATCCACAGTTGACAAATATATGCTTACAGAGGATATCCCTGCACAAGTGACATGATCACACAATGCCGGTTGCAACCCACAGCAGTTGGAACAGGGAAACCATGGTCCCCTAAAGCCTGGAGATATAAGCAGTCAAGGATTAACCAAACAAACTTAAAAGAAATAGAATGAGAAAAAAGTACCTTCATAGAGGCAAATTCCTTCAAGGCTGCAAGTCGTGAGAGGTACAGCCAATTAAAGCTCGTTCGGTGCCTTAGATAGTCACGCTTAGATTTCACAGCCCTAAAAGATGTCCTGCCCAACCTATGAAGCTTCATGGCGAGTACTGTACCATCCTCTGTGGCGCCTCAAATATATCTGCGTATCACAGAGATATTAGAAACAACTTCATGTGTCTTTGCCACATTACTAAAACAAAGAACAAACACTATGAACACAAGTGCACAACATACCAGACTCCTTTCCAACACCGATCTGACGGCCAACTGAAGCAAAAACTCCTCGATTAACCAAAGTCTTGATGGCAAGGAAGTCATATCCTAGATAGGTGAGCCGATATCCATCATCTGTATGGAACGGAACCAATAAAGCAATAAAGACTTGGAGCTAAGTGCTACTGCACTAGCAACCCAAAATTCTATAATCACAATTAACTGCCAATGACTCACATTTAGTGGCACCATGATGCACTAGCTTGTTCTTCAAAAGATTCCTCAGCACTTTGTATGTGCCTCCATGCCTAAATTCATAAAGCATAAGAACATATTCCACTGACACGGAGTACAAATTCTTTCCACTCAGCAAACAATAGCTTCATTTGACATTTGTTTAAATGGTTAGACCAACATTAAACATCACTAAGACTAAGAGTAACATTAGCTGCACCGAAGCCTCCATGTTTTCAGATTCATTGTTTTCAGCATATTGATGTTTATACAAAATTAATAGAAAACATATCTTCGTTTTTGCCTATCGAAAGGATAAGCGGAAAGATGGAGATTTTATGCTACTCTGTGCACCACAAGGTGGAATAGCAAACCAGAACCAAAGAAATTGCATACTGTGCAAGCCTGCAAGGTCCAAACACCCCAGTACTACCTCCAATCATCAACATGCTAAAATTGCAATTAAATCCCAAAAAATGATTTGGATAACATACAACCAATTAACATCTAAAACTAGTAACCGCAAGCATATCCTCAGCATAGCCACAGATTGCAGGAAACAAAAACAAAATCTTACTTCAGCCCGGCAATCCTGTCAACAAGTTCTGCCGGAACAATCTCATGCTGTGACAAGTCCACACACACACACCCAAAAAAAAAAAAAAAAACTTAAGTCACAGAAACCGGAGATTTAATATGTAACGGAATGCAAGGTCGAGGTGAAGGGTATTGGGGATCTTACATTGCGCATGCCCATCTCGACTGCTGTGAGGACGCGGAAGTCGTCCTTGGAGAGGTAGCGAAGGGCGTTCACATCAAGCTTCATGGTGTCCTCCTCCTGCTGCTGCTGGCTGCTGCAGCCAGGGCGGACCACCCGATGATTTTTGTAAAAAGTTCAAAGTAAGCAAGCATAAAATAGCCAAATAGCTTTAAGTTGGGACTTGGGTGCTCAATTTCACACAACAGGCAGGGAGTAGAAGGGGTGGGAATACCCAGTGGCGGAGCTCGTCAATTTTGAAGTCTAGGGCCACTATCCAAGTATATGTATCATCGGTATTGGGTAAATATACCACTGGTCCGGGGTCTAATACCGATAGATAACAAAACTAGCTCATAATAAATGCATAAATTTAGATGATATTTGATTTCATACTTAAATCCACAACATAACTGATGGAAACATGAAAGTGATTAAAAAATATTAACTAATGGTTGGGTGGCATAGTAGCAAGAGAAAAAAGGATTTTAATGTCTCGATCAACTCTACAAAAATTGACCTCGCCAATTTAACTCATTCGGCCACCTGCTTGGCAAGGAACAGAGACAAGAGTCTGTACAAATACCTTAAAATTTGAGAATGGGAATGGGGAATTACCAATAGTCCAATAATACCAAGCCTCAGCCAGTACTCTTCTATTGCAAATTTGCAATCGGCAACTGCAAGGAACAGAGGCAATCACCCAATCAGGCAACACAAAGCCCCCTGCTTGGCAGCCTGGCTGCGGCGTGCGTGCGGCCTCCAGGCTGCTGCTGACCCACGCGGCCACCGGGAGCCAAGATGCTGGCGTGCGCCTGCCACTGCCGCTGCCAGCAGCCCAGCACAGGGTCGCCGCGCGGGCTCGGACAGTGCAGCTACGGCGTGCGCCCTGCGGGCCCAATACCTACTGAGTGATCGTCGCCGCCTCGCCGGTGAAAAGACAGAAAGGCCTCGGCACCTGGCGTAGGGCGGCAGCGGCAGCGGCGGCGGCGGCGGCGGTACCCCACCCAGTCGTCGCACAGAGAGGGACCGAGACAGCGGACGCGGGGTGAAGTGAACGGATCAGCGGGCGGCGGTAGCCCAGTCCAGGCCTCCTGGGCTGTCCAGCCCAGGAGGAGCGCGCCCGAACGGCGAACGGGCCTTCTGCTGG